ATATATATATATATATATATATATATATATATATATATATATATATATATGTATTTTTTTTACGTTAGAAATTTAAATATTCGTACTTTTATAAAGATAAAAAAATAAAACTGCTCAGGATTAAATAAACTAAGAGAAAAAATATCTAAGGAATAGGAAATATATTTATTTGTTATGTATATATTTATTAAATGTGTGTGTGTGTGTGTGTGTGTGTACATATAACGTACTAACAATATATATTTACTTAAATCTGAATTCCTTTATTTAAATAAAATTAATAATTACTTTCATGAAAAGCGCAAAGTTTCCTTAAAGTCTTAAGTAAATGTATATTTTCTTATTTGAAAAATATTTTATATTAGTATAAGTAAATATGTTATTGATGTGGGTACCACCGAATAAATATTTACTATTTCATAGATATTTTTTCTCTCGTATACAGTGGATTATAAAACAGTATAAATACAACAAAATTAATCTCACCAAACTGTCAATTGGGAATCATATTTTGACGGTTTTGCCTAGTAGTTATATAATTAATTATTATTGTAAATTATTATTAGTATTATTATTATTTATTATTTAACTATGACTATTATTTATTACTTAACTATGACTTTCCTAACTTTATATATGTTTACTGAAAAAATTGCTGAAATTTCGTCCAGAAATGACTGAGGAAAACTTTCAGGAGCTTTTCCAGCAAAATTAAATAATTGTGAAAGAAAGTGTTTTACTATTGAATGTATTTTACTATTAATTATTAATAATCCCAATGTATCTTGTCGTTGATCTTTGCCCAATGTCAACTGACAGGATAATTATACTTATAAAGTCATGCGCGAAAAAATTGCACAGACGTACACACTGCAGTGACATCTCTACACTTTGAATTTCGTGTTCGCGAGATCGTCGCGTCTTTCCGGCCGCTTCTGCGCGAAATTTCAGAGACTTCCGCGGCGATCGCGTGTCTCATACTGCCCACTCTCGGGGAACAATTGATGCTGCCGTCTGCGAAGATAATCCCAGGAAACGTCGTCTTGCAAATTCGTCCGCGAATAGATGATCCGCGCCGCGTGCGCACATTCGCGCGTGCCTTCGGCGAAATTGGGTTACGTGCGTCACGCGCTTCGATAACAAAAGTAGGAAGGACTAGACTTTGCAATCCTCTAATAAAGACATGCTATCGAGATGCTTGATTCCGCAGACTGTCGCATGTTAATGTAACAATGTTAGGTTCGCGCAGTGGCCACAGAGCGCACAATTCGATCAGATAACAGAGACAACAACATAGTCGCAAGTGCGTAATCCTCCTCTACGAGGAAATAAATATCGTAGTAATCGGCTAGTTTCTCGGAGCAACTTTTTAACCAATATTTCGTAATCGAGGCTAACGTAAACACATGCGCTTATCGATTACCCACACGAAGACACGCGGAGTCGTGCCGCACCTAGAAGAGAGATAGCGCGGACGCATGTGCGCTATTTCGAACTAATACAGGAATATTTTTCATCAACGTCGACCTCTCTCTTTCTCTCTCTCTCTCTCTCTCTCTCTCTCTCTCTCTCTTTCTGTCTCGACGCAATCGTTACGCAACGTCGCCGCGACGCGAAACACAAGGTGGCTCTATTGGTCGTTTCTTTTTTGTCACGCGATCCCAACAGATCCATCTCCTCTCCGGCGCGGCTGTGTCGGCGTGCCGCTATCCGAGATTGCGCGGTATTGCTCGCAATTTGCTATACCCGTTTTCACATTCCACTGACGTCATTTGCGGCGCATGTCTCCTTCTGGGCGACAGACGCTCGGGGCGAATCGACTCGGATGTTAACGGTCGCTTGCTAACGCGGCGAAGTTAACCCTTGCTCTTCGCGCTGGGCGAATGGCGCGAGGATGGCGAAAGCCGTGATGCTCGAGTCTCGTCGCGAATCTGAAACCCTACAATGTTGACGCACATTCGCTGTACACGCGTACATCGTCGACGCTCGTCAGCGTTTGCCGTATCTGAAGCGCGTTGACTAAAGACTTTCACACAGAAACGTACATAACGTTTTAAGCTACGTTACCATGATTATGCGTGATCTCATTATTACATTATAAGGTAGAATAAAGTATATACACCGAATATTTTATAAAAATATAAGATTTGAAGAGAATTATTTAATTTCATAAATTAATATGTTATATTTTTTAGTGCTTTTTTTGCAATATACCGTTTGTTCACTTAGCCATTGCAATAACTAAATTTAAAAGATGTCTTAATGTAGAAAAAGT